AAAAAAAAGCAGGAGTTGTAATTCTCATCTCTGATAAAATAGACTTTAAACCAACAAAGATCAAAAGAGACAAAGAAGGACATTACATAACAGTAAAAGGATCAATGCAACAAGAAGACCTAACAATCCTAAATATATACGCTCCCAATACAGGGGCATCAAGATACATAAAGCAAGTTATTAATGACTTACAAAGAGATTTAGACTCTCACACAATAATACTGGGAGACTTTAGCACCCTACTGTCAGTATTAGACAGATCAATGAGACAGAAAATTAACAAGGATATCCAGGACTTGAAATCAGACCTGGACCAAACAAACCTAACAGACATTTACAGAACTCTCCACCCCAAATCCACAGAATATACATTTTTCTCGGCACCACATCACACCTACTCTAAAATTGACCACATAGTTGGAAGTAAATCTCTCCTCAGCAAATGCAAAAGAACAGAAATCAGAACAAACAGTCTCTCGGACCACAGAGCAATCAAGTTACAACTCAGAATTGAGAAACTAACTCAGAACCGCACAGCTTCATGGAAGCTGAACAACTGGCCCTTGAATGTTCACTGGATAAACAATGAAATGAAGGCAAAAATAAAGATGTTCTTCGAAACCAACGAGAATGAAGACACAACGTACCAGAATCTCTGGGACACACTTAAAGCAGTGTCTAGAAGAAAATATATAGCAATAAATGCCCACATGAGAAGCAAGGAATGATCTAAAATCGACACCCTATCATCAAAATTGAAGGAGCTAGAGGAGCAAGATCAAAAATCTCAAAAGCTAGCAGAAGACAAGAAATAAATAAGATCAGAGCAGAACTGAAGGAGATAGAGACACAAAAAACCCTTCAAAAAATCAATAAATCCAGGAGCTGGTTTTTCGTAAAGATCATCAAAACAGACCACTAGCCAGGATAATAAAAAAGAAAAGAGAGAATAATCAAATAGATGCAATAAAAAATAAGGGGATATCATCAAACATTCCACAGAAATACAAACCATCATCAGAGATTACTACAAACAACTCTATGCACATAAACTAGTAAACCTGGAAGAAATGGATAAATTCCTGGACACTTGCATCCTCCCAAGCCTAAACTAGAAAGAAGTCGAAACCCTGAATCGACCAATAACAAGGGCTGAAGTTGAGGTAGCAATTAATAGCCTACCAAAAAAAAAGCCTAGGTCCACACGGGTTCACAGCTAAATTCTACCAGACATACAAAGAGAAGCTGGTACCATTCCTTTTGAAGCTATTCCAAACAATCCAAAAAGAGGGGAATCCTTTCCAAATTATTTTATGAGACCAACATCATCCTGATACCAAAACCTGGCAGAGACTCAACAAGAAAAGAAAACTTCAGGCCAATATCCATGATGAACATAGATGCAAAAATCTTCAATAAAATACTGGCACACCGATTGCAACAGCACATCGAAAAGCTTATCCATCATGATCAAGTAGGCTTTATCCCAGGAATGCAAGGCTGGTTCGACATAAGCAAGTGTATAAACGTAATTCACCACATAAACAGAAACAAAGACAAAAACCATATGATTATCTCAATAGATGCAGAGAAGGCCTTTGACAAAATTCAACAGTGCTTTCTGCTAAAAATTCTCAATAAACTACGTATCAAAGGAACATATCTCAAAACAATAAAAGCTATTTACGACAAACCAACAGCCAATATCATACTGAATGGGCAAAAACTGGAAGCATTCCCTTTGAAATCTGGCACTAGACAAGGATGCCCTCTCTCACCACTCCTCTTCAATACAGTATTGGAAGTTCTAGCCAGAGCAATCAGGCAAGAAAAAGAAATAAACCGTATTCAATTAGGAAAGGAGGAAGTCAAATTATCTCTATTTGCAGATGACATGATTGTATATCTAGAAGACCCCATCGTCTCAGCCCCAAATCTCCTGAAACTGATAAGCAACTTCAGCAAAGTCTCAGGATACAAAATCAATGTGCAAAAATCACAAGCATTCCTATACACAAATAACAGACTTAAAGAGAGCCAAATCAAGAATGAAATGCCATTCACAATTGCTACAAAGAGAATAAAATACCTAGGAATACAGCTAACAAAGGATGTAAAGGACCTCTTCAAGGAGAACTACAAACCACTGCTCAACAAAATCAGAGAGGATACAAACAGATGGAGAAACATTCCATGCTCATGGTTAGGAAGAATCAATGTCGTGAAAATGGCCATACTGCCCAAAGTAATTTACAGATTCAACACTATTTCCATCAAGCTACTGATGACCTTCTTCACAGAACTGGAAAAAACCATCTTAAACTTCATATGGAACCAAAAGAGAGCCCACATAGCCAGGTCAATTCTAAGCAAAAAGAAGAAAGCTGGAGGCATCACACTATCTGACTTCAAACTATATTACAAGGCTACAGTAATCAAAACAGTATGGTACTGGTACGAAAACAGAGACATAGACCAATGGAACAGAACAGAGGCCTTGGAGGCAACGCCACACATCTACAACTATCTGATCTTTGATAAACCTTACAAAAACAAGAAATGGGGAAAGGATTCCCTGTTTAATAAATGGTGTTGGGAAAACTGGCTAGCCATGTGCAGAAAGTAGAAACTGGACCCCTTCCTGACACCTTACACTAAAATTAACTCCAGATGGATTAAAGACTTAAACATAAGACCTAACACCATAAAAACCCCAGAAGAAAATCTAGGTGAAACCATTCAGTACATAGGCGTAGGCAAGGACTTCATGACCAAAACACCAAAAGCACTGGCAACAAAAGCCAAAATAGACAAATGGGACCTAATCAAACTCCACAGCTTCTGCACAGCAAAAGAAAGTCATTATAGTGAATTGGCAACCAAAGGAATGGGAAAAAACTTTTGCAATCTACCTATCTGACAAAGGGCTAATATCCAGAATCTACAAAGAACTAAAACAGATTTACAAGAAAAAACTAACAAGCCCATTCAAAAGTGGGCAAAGGATATGAATAGACACTTTACGAAAGAAGGCATATATGAGGCCAACAAACATATGAAAAAATGCTCATCATCACTGGTCATTAGAGAAATGCAAATCAAAACTACATTGAGATATCATCTCAGGCCAGTTAGAATGGCATCATTAAAAAATCTGGAGACAACAGATGCTGGAGAGGATGTGGAGAAATAGGAATACTTTTACACTGTTGGTGGGAGTATAAACTAGTTCAAGCATTGTGGAAGACAGCATGGTGATTCCTCAATGATCTAGAAACAGAAATTCCATTTGACCCAGCAATCCCATTACTAGGTATATATCCAAAGTATTATAAATCATTCTATTATAAGGATACATGCATACGAATGTTCATTGTGGCACTGTTTACAATAGCAAAGACTTGGAACCAACCCAAATGACCACTGATGATGGACTGGACAAGGAAAATGTGGCACATATACACCATGGAATACTATGCAGCCATAAAAAACGATGAGTTCGTGTCCTTTGTAGGGACATGAATGAACCTAGAAACTATCATTCTCAGCAAACTGACACAAGAACAGAAAATCAAACACCGCATGTTCTCACTCATAGGCAGGTGTTGAACATGAGAACACATGGACATAGGGAGGGGAGCATCACACATTGGGGTCTGTAGGGGGGAAACAGGGGAGGGACAGTGGGGGGTAGAGACCTGGGGAAGAATAACATGGGGAGAAATGCCACATATAGGTGATGGGGAGGAAGGTAGCAAACCACACTGCGACGTGTGTACCTATGCAATCTTACATGTTCTTCACATGTATCCCAAAATCTAAAATGCAATTAAAAATAAATAAATAAATAAATAAACAAACACGATGTAGGTTAAAAGTGTTAAGAAATTAAGGTTATTTAGTAAAATGAATACATTTGGCTAAAGATCGTAAAACTGGTTACTTATAAAATATACTCACCATTTGTGCATTGGAATCCCCCAATGACTGAAGTTCGTATTGAACAGCTTGCTCATTTTGGTCGACTAGGTGGAATTGTTCTGCAGAAAGTGTCTGCGTCTGAGTCAGGGTCCCTGGTATATTCTGTGATATGAGTGAATTATTTACTTCAGAAGCAGTGATCGGCAAAACTCTAGGAGAATCATTTTGTTCAAAGGAAGAATCCCTGGAGCCCATACAGGTTAGATGCTTCTGCAAAGAAAAAAAAAAAAATCACTTCAGTCTAACGATATAGTATCATCATTTAAAAAAAAAAAAAAACATGTGTTACGAAAAGATATCCAATTTCAGTTTTTACTTTTTTGTAAGTTCTCAATTCACACAAATTGATATATACAGAAAGTATTTAAGTAAAATTGTTGATTATTATATTTATCTTAATTTTATCAAAATAAAACTGTCCACAGGAATGCAACCTGAAATAACATAATTCAACCTATAGATTTTTCTTTGTATACAAATTTTTATAAATGTATCTAAGCATTAAGTTCTGTATTATAAAATACGTGTACAATTAAATATTGAAATTCTTTTTTTTTTTTCTGAGATGGAGTTTCGCTCTTGCGGAGTATAATGGTCCAATCTTTGCTCACTGCAACCTCTGCCTTCTGGGTTCAAGTGATTCTCCAGCCTTAGCCTCCCGAGTAGCTGGCATTACAGGCACCCACAACAACGCCCAGCTAATTTTTGTATTTTTTGTAGTGACGGGGTTTCACCATGTTGGCCAGGCTGGTCTTACACTTCTGACCTCAGGTGATCTGCCCATCTTGGCCTCCCAAAGTGCTGGGATTACAGGTGTCAGCCACCATGCCTGGCCTAAAATTCTTGAATACACTAAATGTAACAGGTATCTCTTGAGCATAAAGGGCTGTTAAATGGCATACTGTTTTACCCTAGGATGGAAAAAAGTTCCCAGCGGAATCCCTACCTCAAATACCTGAGCATCGGTTTTTGACTCTTCACCATCATTATGGTTGGCTCTCAATGAATCATTAGATTGTTCCATGCTGACATCATATTCAATTCCATTTTCTTCTATTATTTAATAGCTGAAAGAGTTTAAATAGCTGATCAACTAAAGCACTTAGTATTTTTGTGGAATGTTTTATCTTAAGCCGCTCATATTCACTACTATGGTACCCTATACAATTTAGGTAAAATCATTTCCATTCTATAGATTAAAAAATTAACATTTTTGTTAAATAACTTGCCAAGGCACCAGAATACATTCAAAATAGGGCAAAAATTAGTGTTATGTAGATCCCTTATTCTATCTTTAACCATACTTCTGTACTGGCTTTTTAAGATTGCTGTTACGTGACAAGGTACTGCTAACCTTTCAAATACTTCTAAAGTTATCACCTTACCAGAGATTTAATGCAAATAAAGTTTTTCAACTTTATGAGTTGGGTGTGCCCTATTGCAGCATTATATAATTTTAAAATAGATATCCTGGTGTAGACAGATTACGTATATACAATTTTTACCATTAATAGACAAGCATACCACTTAAAATTAGCTTGACAAGCTTTGAAAAGGAAGAGATAATTTAAAAAAAAGAAAAGAAAGAAACATATATACCAATAACTCTGAGCCATTTAGGTCTAGGGCAGTGGTTCGTAATTAGGGCAATTTTGTAAAGCTACAAAATCAGTCACGTTTTAATACATGGCTACAAAATATTTTTAAATTGCTCCTCCTTTAAGATTTTAAACTATCACTTATATCCTAATCAAGTAAAAAATCAATTACAAAAAATCCAAAAAACTTGTTGTTACCTTGGGGTATAGAAGTAGAAGCAATTTTATTTTATAACTTTCGTTTTTTTTTTTTAATTTGTATATTATACCTATATTACTTGAGAATAAAAGAATATTTAGAAGGGGTTTCAAAATAAAAAGAGCCGCCCATTAATGGCAATATGGCAAATGGATACTATAAAAAAATTATCTTCCTACAAAACAAAAGCAGTAAGTTTTATGGCTAAGAAACTGATTTGGACAAGCAGCTTGTAGGGCAGGAGAACTTAAAACACCCAAGATAAGGATAACAACCTGAAAGGTTCTGTGTGAAGAAAAATGCAGCTACTATTTCGAAAAAAACAAACCCAAATAAGACTCCAGTTTCCTTTCATATTAAGATCAATTAAATATATGCTAACAGTCCAAGAGTACCCAAAACATAAGAAATAAGCCACTATGGGATTGAGTCATCAGATTTAGACAGCCCCTAAAGACTTCCCATATTGGAAATATCTAAGATTGAATATAATTATTTAATGTCTAAAAAAAATGAATCACAGAGATAAGCAAATAATTAAAACTATCAAAAGTTTAATATTAAAAAAAAAAAAAAAAAAACAGGCTGGGCATGGTGGCTCCTACCTGTAATCCCAGCACTTTGGGAGGCCGAGGTAGGTGGATCACTTGTGGTCAGGAGTTAGACCAGCCTGGCCAACATGGTGAAATCCCATCTCTACTAAAAATACAAAGATTAGCCAGGCACAGTGGTGCATGTCTGTAATCCTAGCTACTCAGAGGCTGAGGCAGGAAAATTGCTTAAACCCTGGAGGTAGAGGTTGCAATGTGCTGAGATTGTGCCACTGCACTCCAGCCTGGGTGACAGAGAAAGACATTGTCTCAAAAAAAAAAAAAAAAAACCCAAGAGACAAGAAACCAAACAGAACTTTCAGAAATGAAAAACTGCTGAAATTAGGTCAATGGAGCCAGAAACAGCAGTTCATGCCTATAATCCCAGCACTTTGGGAGACCAAGGCAGGAGGATTGCTTTGAGGCCAGGAGTTCGAGACCAGCCTGGGCAACATAGTGAGATGCTGTCTCTACAGAAAAATTTTTAAATCAGCCATGTACAGTGGTGTGGGTCTGCAGTCCCAGCTACTTGGGAGGCTGAGGTGGGAGGATCTCTTGAGTTCAGGAGTCTGAGGCTGCAGGGAGCCATAATCATGCCACTGCACTGCAGCATGGGTGACATAGTGAGACCCTGTCTCAAAAAACAAATTTAAAAAAAGGCAATGGATAAGTTAAACAGATGATTAGATGCAGAAGAAAGAATTAGAAGACAGATTTTTGTATTACCTAGACTGCATCACAGCAAACAGAGAAGATAAAAAACATGACAAAGAGACTTAAAAATAGGAAAAATAGAAAGTATAGTATGCATATAAGTGAAGTCTCAGAAGAATAAAAAAGAGAAAATGGAGGAGAGACAATACAGATGCTCTTAGACTTACAACAGAGTTATTATCCTGATAAACACACTGTGAGTTGAAAATACATTAAGTGGAAACTATCATTAAGTTGAAAGTGCATTTTTGATTTACAGCATTTTCAAATTACAACGCATTTATCCAGATGTAACACCATCACAGGTTGAGAGGTGTACTAAATATGTATCATTTTCACACCATCATAAAGTTGAAAAATCATAAGTTGAATTAATGTAAGAATTAATACCATCAGTATTTGAAGAGACAATGGCTGGCAATTTTTCAAAACTAAAGATATGAATATACAGATAAAGGAAGTCTTACTTTTAAGTACTCTAAGATAAATAAAAAGAAACCCATCCTCAATGTAATGAACATGCAAAATTCTAAAGAGGAAAAGGAAAATGCAGCTAGAGAGGTAAGACGGACCATAAAAACACCCCGAGCCTAGGTAATAAAAATATAAATTAAAAAAAGAGAGATAAGGCAGACTCCCTACAGAGTACTGAAATTAGACATTTAGCAGCCTTCTTTTTTTTTTTTTTTTTTAATTGTACTTAGGGCTCTGGGGTACCTATGCACACCCTGCATCCTGCAGAACTGTTGCATAGGTACATACATGCCATGGTGGTTTGCTGTCCCCCACACCCCTCACCTACATCAGGTGTTATCCCTCCCTAACCTCCATGCCCTCCCATCCCTCCCCTCCCCTCCACCCTGCAACCTAGCCCAGTGAGTATTGTTCTTTTCTCTGTGCCCAAGTGTTCTCATCGTTTATCACCCGCCTATGAGTGAAAACATGCGGCGTTTGGTTTTCTGTTCTTGTGTCAGTTTGCTGAGAATGATGGTTTCCAGATTCATCCATGTCCCGACAAACGACAGGAACTCGTCGTTTTTATGGCTCCACAGCGGCCTTCTTAATAGCAACATGGTAGCAGAAGTCACAGGAATAATATTGAAGGTTTTTAAAAAAGTAATTATTGGCTGGGTGTAGTGGCTCATGCCTGTAATCCTAGCATTTTGGGAAGCCAAGGAGAGTGAATCGCTTGAGCCCACAAGTTTGAGACCATCCTGGGCAACATGGCGAAACCCTGTCTCAAAAAAGAATAAAAAAGGAAAAATAACTATCAATAAATAACTATCAATAAATAATTGCATATGATCCAAACTACTTTTTTCTACTGCCTTACTTTCAGAATAACAAAAAAAAACCCCACAAAAAAAACAAAAAACACAAAACCATATTTTTCACAAAACAGAAAGGAAGATACCTTAAGATTTTAAAAAACTGAAAGTTGGCTGGGCACGGTGGCTCACCCTGTACACCCTGTAATCCTAACGCCTTCGGAGGCCGAGGGAAGTGGACCACTTGAGGCCAGGAGTTCAAGACCATCCTGACCAACATGGCAAAACCGTGTCTCTACTAAAAATAAAAAAATAAAATATTAGCCAGGTGTGGTGGCACATATCTGTAACCACAGCTACTCAGGTGGCTAAGGCATGAAAATCGCTTGAACCCAGGAAGTGGAGGTTGCAGTGAGCCAAGATCGTGCCAGGGGGACAGGGAAAGACTCTGTCTCAAAAAAAAAAACAAAAACAAAACAAAAAAAAACTATAATAATAAATAGAAAACAAAAAACTGAGAGTTTACAATCAATGTATTGCACATGAAAGAAATTTCTTATATATATATATATATTTTTTATTGCACTTTAGGTTCTGGGGCACATGTGCAGAATGTGCAGGATTGTTGCATAGGTACATACATGGCAATGTGGTTTGCTACCTCCATCCCCCCATCACCTATATCTGGCATTTCTCCCCATGTTATCCCTCCCCAACCTCCCTACACTCTGCTGTCCCTCCCTTAGTCCCCCCCAACAGACCCTATATGATGCTCCCCTCCCTCTGTCCATGTGTTCTCATTGTTCAACACCCACCTATAAGTGAGAACATGTGGTGTTTGATTTTCTGTTCTTGTGTCAGTTTGCTGAGAATGATGGCTTCCAGATTCATCCATGTACCTACAAAGGACACGAATTCATCCTTTTTTATGGCTGCATAGTATTCCGTGGTATATATGTGCCACATTTACGATACACTTCATATCTGATAGCACACAACAGGGTTACTACAGTCAATAATTTAATTATATTTAAAAAGTACTAGAAGAGTATAATTTGATTGTTTGTAACACAAAGGATAAATGCTTGAGGGGATGGATACCCCATTTTGCATGGTATGATTACTACACATTGCATGTCAGTATCAAAACATTTCATGTATCCCATAAATATCTACAATTACTATGTACCCATAGCAAAACAAGATCTAAAAAAATTTTTTTTAAAAAAGAAACAGTCGGCCAGGTGCAGTGGTTCACACCTGTATTCCTAGCACTTCAGGAGACCAAGGTGGGTGGATCACCTGAGGTCAGGAGCTCGAAACCAGCCTGCCCAACAGGGTGAAACCCCATCTCTACTAAAAATACAAAAACTAGTCTGGCATGGTAGCACACGCCTGTAATTCCAGTAACTCAGGAGGCTGAGGCAGGAGAATCACTTAGACTTGGGAGACAGATTGCAGTGAGCCAAGATTGCGCCACTGCACTCCAGCCTGAGCAACAAGAGCAAGACTCTGTCTCAAAAAGCAATAAATAAATAAATAAGGAACAGTTATACCATACGAACACATTACAGAAGGGAGAGAAAAAATATACATCAAGTATAAAATATTTGGTATAGGAATTATCTCTGTATTTCTTACAAGTTAGGTAACTGAATAAAGCACATTACTTCAGCAAAAAAAAGTATATATGTATTT